CGGCACCGACCTGGACGTGCTGACCCGGGACGAGCTGCTGGACAGGCTGGGTGGGTGCCGGGCACGGGCTGGGCAGGCTGGGCGCTGCCACCCTGCGAGGTGACCAGGACGTGGTGTGTCACCCTGGGGATGGGCCGGACATCCTGGGTGCTGCCACCCTGGGTGGGTGCCGGGGACATGGTGTGTCACCCTGGGGACAGGAAAGGACACGCTGGGTGCTGCCACCCTGAGTGGGTGACAGGGATATGGTGTGTCACCCTGGGGACAGGAAAGGACACGCTGGGTGCTGCCACCCTGGGTGGGTGACGGGGACATGGTGTGTCACCCTGGGGATGGGCTGGACATCCTGGGTGCTGCCACCCTGGGTGGGTGACGGGGACATGGTGTGTCACCCTGGGGACAGGTAGGGCACGCTGGGCACTGCCACCCTGGGGGGATGATGGGCACCTGGTGTGTCACCATGGGGACACAAAGGACACGTTGGACACTGCCACCCTGGGGGGATGATGGGCACCTGGTGTGTCACCCTGGGGCTGGGCAGGCCCACACTGGGCACTGCCACTCCGGGTGGGTGACCAGGACAAAGCGCATCATCCTGGGGACAGACAGGGCACGCCGGGCACTGCCACCCTGGGTGGTGACAGGGCTGTCCCCACAGCCACCCTGGCCCGGGAGCTGGCAGCGGGCACGGCGGAGCTCAGGGCGCTGCGGGACCGGGTGCAGCGGCTGCAGAACGAGCTTATCCGGGTACGGCACCGCGGGCACCGCGGGCACCGCGGGCACCTCGGGGCCGTGCCCGGGACTCCCGCGGGATTCTCCCCGCAGAAAAACGACCGCGAGAAGGAGCTGGTGCTGCTCCAGCGGCGCCACCAGCAGCAGCAGCTGGCACTGAGCAGGTGCCAGCACAGGGCAGCCAAGGCCGGGGCGCTGGAGCGGGCGCTGCAGCAGCAGGAGAAGGTGACACGCTTAGGGTGACAAGGACGGGTCTGGGGACACCCAGAGTCCCCAGGGCCCGGGCCGGCCCTGCACGGGGTGGGCACGGAGCCCTGGCACCGCGCTGGGGACACGGGGACAGCGGTGCCCTGTGCCCAGGTGATCGAGGCCATGGAGCGGCTGCTGCGGGAGAAGAGCACCGAGAGAGCCGAGGGTGGGTGTGAGGGGACAGGGACACTCGGGGATGTCCCCAGTGGTCCCTGGGATGGCCCAGGGTGGGCAGGAGGGGACAGGGACACTCAGGGAATGTCACTGAGATGGTCCAGGGTGGGCAGGAGGGGACAGGGACACTCAGGGAATGTCAGTGAGATGGTCCAGGGTGGGCAAGAGGGGACAGGGACACTCGGGGATGTCCCCAGTGGTCCCTGGGATGGTCCAGGGTGGGCAGGAGGGGACAGGGACACTCAGGGAATGTCAGTGAGATGGTCCAGGGTGGGCAAGAGGGGACAGGGACACTCAGGGAATGTCACTGAGATGGTCCGGGGTGGGCAGGAGGGGAGAGGGACACTCAAGGTTGTCCCAAATCATCCCTGAGATGGTCCAGGGTGGGCAGAAGGGGACAGGGACACTCGGGGATGTCCCCAGTGGTCCCTGGAATGGTCCAGGGTGGATGTGGAAGAGGCAGAGACACTCAAGGATGTCCCTGGGATGGTCCAGGGTGGGCAAGAGGGGACAGGGACACTCGGGGATGTCCCCAGTTGTCTCTGAGATGGTCCAGGGTGGATGTGGAGGGGACGGGGACACTCAAGGATGTCCCTGGGATGGTCCAGGGTGGGAAGGAGGGGACAGGGACACTCGGGGATGTCCCCAGTGCTCCTTGGGATGGTCCAGGGTGGGCAGGAGGGGACAGGGACACTCAGGCATGTCCCCAGTTGTCTCTGAGATGGTCCAGGGTGGATGTGGAGGGGACAGGGACACTCAGGGATGTCCCCAATGGTCCCTGGAATGGTCCAGGGTGGGCAAGAGGGGACAGGGACACTCGAGGATGTCCCCAGTGGTCCCTGGGATGGTCCAGGGTGGGCAAGAGGGGACAGGGACACTCAGGCATGTCCCCAGTTGTCTCTGAGATGGTCCAGCGTGGATGTGGAGGGGACAGGGACACTCAGGGATGTCCCCAATGGTCCCTGGGATGGTCCAGGGCGGGTGTGAGGGGACAGGGACACTCAGGATGTCCCCAACACTCCCTGGGGCCTGGGATGGTCCAGGGTGGGCAGGAGGGACCCACGGGTAGATGTTGAGGGGACAAGGACACTCAAGGATGTCCCCAACCCTTTCTGTGCCCCCCTGCCAGAGGATCCCTCATTCCTGAGCCCCCAGCTGAGGCCGGGGCTCGCTGTCCCCC